TACAAATCCAAGATATAATTTCTAGACTATACGAATTCATGTACGCTATATCACTTAAATTCTATTGGTTCAATATTTGTTTGCTCGTTCGCTTAGTTATTCGTTTGTTCGCTTGTTCGCTCGCTTCACGTGATATGATCTTTATCCAATAATATATGAGATATTTATAATCCAATAATAAAATATTATTACGAAAGGTCATTATACAATAATATATATTCTTACAGTACACATTCCTATACTATATTATCAGAAATTGAAAAAATGAATCTGTCACTTTGGAATCTGATATTTTAATATTCAGTAATTTCATTTAAACAAAAATATTACCATTAGATTTATATGAATCTAATAGTGATATCTTTATTTGAATAGAATCACTGGATGTTAAGATATTAGATTCCAAAGTGACAGATTCATTTTTGAAATTTCCAGTAATATATTATAGGAATATGTATAAAAAATTACATTATTAATAAAGATCTAGATATTACAAAAGAAGTGTTGTTTATTCATGTATCATTCTATATTAAATTGATCAACATGAAATCTAAACTAATTAATAATTAAGAAATTACGATGTAATTTCTAGTTTTGAATCTTTAATATTAATTTCCGTAACAACACTCTAAATGTCCTAAATTCTAATTTAGAAACTTTTTTACAGATCATTTGGTGCTAAATACTTTAGCCCGAATCATAGTCACGGCTCTTACAAACTACGAACTAAAACTACTCTTTTCTTTTTTTAGTGTTACTTGATGCCTACAGTTCGTGATCCCACTAGATTCTATTGAAGCGATCTTTTAAAGGATTTAAGAGTCACGTTGGCTTGCAACAGCACGAGCCATCTAAACACGCGACATACAACCTACTACCAAATCACATTCGTCATTTGAAAAACGTTATAGTCAAAGAGACTCAAAAACCATTACCGTGGAACCGGGGAGCAAGTGTTTCATTACATTGTAGCGAAGACGCGTTCGTATGTGTTTTTGGAGTTTGTATTACGCGTTATTCGCTTTGTGGTTCTTTTTATCTTTGCAGTTTTAAGGGAGAAAATGCTGTAGAAACAATTGGACTAACATTCGATAGTGTTTATTTGATTATGGGAATGGTCAGTGGCGTTTTGTTCGGCTATATATGCCAGAAGAGCGTCAATGAGAAGGAAACTCAGGTTAAAGTTATCTTAAAATGGGTAACGGGATTCAAAAGATAAGGCAAATCATTAATATAGGACGGGAGCACTCCAAATTCGCTTTTTTTTTATTTTTATTTTTTTAGATAAATGTCAATTTTAATATGTAAATAAACATTGTTTCCGCTTTTTCTGGAATAAAGCTGTATCCAAAATAAAGTTGCTAGGATGAGCGTTCTTAGGCCGCCAAGAGTAATAATGATGAATCACTTTGACTGACAAACGCCCTGCCGATGTTAAAAAATGGCCTTGTTGAGATTGTTTTTAGTATTTACAAAAAACTACCGTATTTCGCCACATAAAGTATTGAGAATAATAATCTGTTTTACTAACTAAATTAAGGTTTAAATTTTTACCGGGGGGGGGGGGGGGGGGGCGAAATACGGTACCTAGATGTTTTTAAACTAAGAGCAAACTATAAATCAAACCATTCAATCTAATATTTTTTCATTAAATATAATATTTTTTCATTAAATCTTGAATATATTTAACAATTTCTGATCATCTTTCTCGTTTAAAACAAAAATTAATTTATGGCGCGCTGTATTTTATCGTGGAGTCGCTGACGGTTAAAATCTCTGAGAAAAAGAACAATTAAGTCCTTGCACATCAAATTCTCGACCAAATAAAATGTAATGCAAAAGCATTTTTTTTCATTTCATGTAAATAAAATAGATTAGGAACTTACTACAAGATTCATTGCATTATTTCTATATAATTGACAGACTTTTTAAAGAAGCTTGTGTTTCGATTATCTATTTAAAAATTATTTACTTTTAGAATCTTAAAAAAAAATATTAAAAATTAAAAGCACATAAAAAACAAACCTGAATTGCTTGTTGTACTTCTAAATGATCGCGCGCAGCCCGCATCCAGTCTGAAGCAATGGTTTTCGGCCACCCTTTTAATTGATTCAATTCTCTTGTTGCCTTATCCAAATCATGTTCTTTTAAATGATGTTCCACGCGAGCCAAGACAGCCTCGACATCATCACCATCCATCATTCCATGTTTACGAAACATAAACCTGTATAGCACGCGAGAAAGCGCGTGAGGTAACAATCCACCATTTTCCGGTACTAATGAAGCGCTTCGTACTGCTTCTCGCACTTTAGCAAATCGAGCTACTAAATTGGAAACCGAATCAATCCCTGTGGAAGAAACAGAATCATCGATAGTTGATAACACAGCGGTCACTAACTCATCAGTTGATGCCACTTCTTTTAAGGTGGCTACTTCATTGGCAAATGGCGTGCGATGAGGTTTATTAACGGCATTCTTTAATGCGTATACTGCACGCCATAATCGATGGCTTTTGATACTGTCATCCAAATTATCGGCATTTTGTACGCTGAGATTTTGTAGTTCTTTCAAACGAAGGTTAAGTGACTCGAGGTTCGCTAAACGGCCATTTCTTTCTTGTTCGACTCTTGATTTTATTTCACGAATCCATCGCTTTTTCATCCTGACACCTTCGCGGATAAGTATATCTCGAAGTTCTTCAGCGTGTTTTCGAGCTTGTCGTGATAATTCATCTGTTAGATCCTTGTGTTGTTTCAATAATAGTTGTTTATTTGTTTCGAATTCATCCTTAAGATGTTGTTTCTCCTTTTCTGAATTATCTAATAATGATTTTTCTTTGGATCCTAAAAGTGCATTAAACGCTTCTTCTTGTTCAACAAGTGCAGCCTCGATCAAAACATATATTTTAGTTTTACTAGAATTAATTCGCTCGTTCAACTCATTTAACTTTTCTTTTGCCTTTAAAATAATATCTGGGCTTGTGTCTGTTTCTTTGACAATATTAGCAAGTCGATCTAATATTTGATATAGTTCATTAATTATGGGTTCCTCGGATGTGAATATACGGATTTCTTGGGCCAATGAAGGAGATACTTTTGTATCAAGTTCAAGGGGTAAAGGAGAAGACTTTTCATTTTGCTCTGCTGCTGCTGATGGTGTTTTCCCCTCTTGATTTGTTTCTATTTCAATCGCTGGTTTCAAAGTTTTGGATATTTTTCGAGATAAATTATCGTAAACACTGAGACTAAAATCAACCGTTTTCTCAGTTAACTCTGCAGTCTGTTGTCTGAGATGATGGAATGTTCCCTGTCTGTGAAGGTTATCCACATATTCAACAACTTGATTTGCACCAGGAACAGTAGTTGTAAATTTTTTACGAAACTTTTCATCATGAATCGAATGATACACAGCTCCACCATAACCCACGACACCCAAAAGAATTATCGTTAGGATATATTTGCCATAGCTTCCTGAAGCCTTTTTCGTCGTCTCGGATACAGTAGACTTAATTTCTGATTCAGTTTCCTTGGGTTCAGATTTTGGTTGATTTGATGGTGGTAGCGATTGTTGATCAAGAGAAGTGGTGGTGGATTCATTAACAGTTGATCTTGATTCAGCGGGTGTTTCCGAAGCTGAAAGATTTTTTAAAGTTGCGGAATTGGCAATCTCTGTTATTGGGGGATTTTTTAAAATGGGTTCTTCTGTAGATATAGGCTCGGAAGTTTTATCAACATTCGTATCATTAAGAGTTCCGTTGTTCTTGTGCTTTTTACTTTTGAACCTCTAAGTACCGTAGCGAGAAAAAGAAGCACCAACTTTCCAATGTCAAAAAGCGAATCAACAAAAAAAAGTATTTTGACGCAGGTCGAGTTTACCTTTGCACCTTCATCGAAAACACGATATGGCTTTGCAAACCGTGAAGAGTGAATATGTTTAGTTGGAGATGTCACATGGGTGAGTTGCGTGCCAAGTCTGACCCGTAAAACCAAGCGTGCATTAAACATGCTTAGAATGTCACATTATCACGGTACAACAAAAGTTTAGCATAAAAAAGTAAAAGGTAAATAATGCAATATATATCAAAACGAACGAATTCCCTACTTACATGCATAATAATAGTATCTCGGAAGAAAATAATTTTTTGCTGCACTGTGACTAAAACTTCAACTTATTCTGTACTTTCCTAATTTGTTCAAAGTAAATAAAAATTATATTTTCATTAAAGCTCGACTTGTTCAGGGTTAAATAGCATTTCTCTTTTGTGAGCTGAAATGGCAGGTTTCTTTCCCAAGGAAACAGTTAAGGTAGAAAAACAAACAATAATATCCTAGTTTAAATGTATTAAATTCACAGAAATTTGTATTTTAGAACACTGCTGAGGTGGTTGGGATTTCTAACTTAAAAGACGAGGTCGCATTGGCTCTAGCACACGACGTAGAATATAGATTATACGAAATAATACAAGTAAGTCTTGTTTCTTAAAAAAATAATCATTCTTGATTGATTTCAAAATTCTTTCTACATATAGGAAGCAACAAAATTCATGCGTCACTCCAAAAGGACTAAGCTTACAGGAGACGACATAAATCATGCGCTACGCGTGCGTAATGTCGAGGTACATTTACTTATTATTGGATCCTTTTGTGCCGAAATAATTTATGGCTTTTTCAAAGCTGATCAAATTCATGCTATTCCGTCGCGCGTGTAATTGTAGCCATTATACGGCTTTAATGTTCCAATATCGTATAAATTTGAGAGACTGTCAACAAATACAATGGATCTCTATTATCTTGAAGATGATGAATTGGACTTTGAAAGCTTAATTGATGCCCCTTTGCCTAAAGTTCCACAAGATGTTATTTTTACTGGTTGGTTGTTTTGTCTTTTATTTTATTTCACTCTCAAATCTATACATGCATTTATTTTACTCCTTTCCCATTTGTATATATATAAGCTCATTGGCTCGCTGTTGAAGGTGTACAGCCATTGATTCCACATAATCCAACAATAAAAGGTATAAAAGTAAATAAATGATTCTCTTGCATACACACATTTTTATTAAGTATAAGCTTGCTTTATTTAGGACCAGTTAAAACAAAGATAACAAAAAATATTGCTTCTACACATGAGAATCTAGAATCTAATATAACAGAAGTCAATGGAACAATCGAGATGACGAATCCATCCACAATTCAATCTATTTCCCAAGAACATCAGAGATACTATGATTCGATCGTGAATGCTGTGTTTAGTTTGGAATCAAATGATATTTTGCGAAACCAGGCATTTTCGAGTCTGAGCGTTGACACGGGAATTAATAAATTATTACCACATTTTACAAAACTTATATGTGAAAAGGTTCGAAATAATTTACATACGATATTTCTTTTTATTGCGATGATTAATTAACAAGAGGTTTTACTGCTGCAATGTGTGCAGGTTGTAGAGAATATCAGAAATCTCGAGGTGTTAGATTATCTAATGAACATGACAAAGTCACTATTGAGCAATGAGACTGTTTATCTTGATCCTCATGTATGTGTATTTTTCTTGATTGTCACCATGTATTATTGTACGTTGTGTTTTCAAATATTTATATGTTTTTCTTAACAAGACTTTGCTAATGTGTAGTGTGTACGATGTTATTTTAAAACAAAAACAAAAAATATTAGCTACACCAATTAATCCCTGCTATATTAACCTGCTTGGTCTCCAAAAGACTTGGTCTCCGATCAACAGAAGATCACTGGTCATTGCGTGAATTCGCCGCAAAAATTATCGCGGACATCATCAAGCGGTATGGACCAGCATATCACACTCTAAAACCGCGTATTACAAAAACATTGATACGTGCATTACTGGACCCAAATAAATCATTTTCCACTCAATATGGCGCGATTGTTGGTTTATCTGCATTAGGACCCGAGGTAGTGAAATCTTTTCTGATCTTTTGCTTTTTCTTTTTTTGTGGGATATTTGTATAACATGATTTATATTAATTGGAGTAAAAACGAATGAATCAATAAAGATCATCAAAATCCTCATGCTACCAAATATAAAAACGTATGGGGCGTTCATCAGGACACAAACCGAGAGTGGTGACGCTGTGGCTAGGGGTGAAGCTGAACGTTGTTTGCAGGCAGTTATGGTAAGACTAATTGTTTGATAAATTTTGTTGACGTTTTCTTAACAACTACTCGATATTCTATGGAATTACAGGATGCACTAGATAAACTGGTAGAAGATCTTTCATTAGGAAAAATGCCCAGACCCAAAAATCTATCACAGCAAAGGGTTGTGAATCTGCGAGAGAAATTAACAGAAAAACTTGGCAATTTGTTTACTGAGAAAATCTATGAGCGGTTTCAAGATGAAGACTTGATACATGATATTTTCAATAGTTTTGGCGGCGAACAATGATTTGGGACAAAATCTTGTTAAAATGCTATTCAACTTACAATATATTACATTTGAGAAGTAATTAATAAATCAAATTTTCGTGTAACAAGCCAATTCGCATCGTCCGCTAAGCAAAAATTCGAGTAAGAAAATGGAAACAAAGCTAAATTCGTTTTACTTGATTTTGATGATATGAATCGAAGATGTTTGCATCGTTGTGAGGCTCCGCAGACATTAACAAAAAATGGTTAGAAATATGTGAATGCTGTTTAAATTGCAATTGCTATGTCATTTTTTTTCATGATCTGATGGTTGTTGTGGTTGTTCGTGTGAAGAATGATGACTACCAAATAAATATCGAATGATGGAATACCATCTGTTTTCCTCTGAAGGAGGAAGAATTCTCGCTTGAGCTTGAGGATCTCGTGGAATAACCTAAGAAAAATAACTAGTCAGTGAAAAGAGCCAATTTTTGATTGGATTAATAAATTAATAATAATATACACACATAAACCATGCCATCTTTGTCTTCTATGATAATGTTCTCTTGTTCATCATACACAGAAAATTTTCCTATATAAAGACGTTGTATGCGAGAGCCTGGTTCTGGTCCTGATCCTGATCCTGATCCCTCTAGTTCTTCAAGTCTTTGAGGCTGTTTATCTTTTTGATTTCTTGAAGGTGAATCGTATCCTTCCGCTTGATCTTCGACTCTAATAATTGTTTCTAATGTATTATTATCAGTAGTGCTAGGAGAAACAACAGGTTGAGGAAGCTGAGGAGTTCTTTCGCCACCAGAATCCTCTGTTTGTTTTTTGTCATCTGTGCTGCTGGTCTCACTAACAACTTTTTGACCACTATGACTTGTGGCAATTGTGGTAGTTGAATCAGATGGCTCCTCCGGGATTACTACATCTTTTGTGGGGCTAGTTTCTTGCTGAGTTTTCGGAGCAGAGAATCTCAATTCTTGTCCAAATCGAAGAATTGGCAATCGCGAAACTTGATTAGTGAAACTAGTCGTTGTTAATGTTCGAGTATTGATTCTTTGACTGATTTTGAAGACTGGAATCTAAAAGGGATAATCTAGTAAAGATTAATAATTGCTAATAAAAATACAAGTGTTAATAACTGAATTACATACCGTACAACCATGCACTAAAATACTCGTGCATACAATGAAATAAACAACTAGATAACCATATTTTCATTTGAGTATTGAGAAATTACGAATTAGCATTAAAAACATTCAAAATCTCGTGCAAAATAAGAATCGCAATTAGTTACCAGGTAATACCAATTCTCGAGAACGTTCGCTACCTCCATGCTTAGCAAGAAATTCGTCAGTGAAGCTTGCATAAAATATAGAACCTAATAAAAAGAAAAAAGAAATCATGTGTTTATCAATGAATACACGAGTGAATTCCTTACTTTTAAATAAAAATTAATTTTCAACATACTAATTCCTATTGGGCCAAACCAGCCGCTAAATACCGCTAAAATTACATTTTCAAATTAGAAAATATCGGAAAAAAAAGACGGGATTCAATATATCAATACCTTCTCGATAAGTCTTTATAGCTGGTATCCAACGGTACAAAAGCAACATTATAGGCAAACGACGAAACAAAAGAATAAGAACACCGAGAACAATTAAGCGCCATGGTGCAAGACCTAAGGCGGGATCGGAAAAAGATGACCACGGTATCGTCACACCAACATATACGAATACTGCCATATTGAGAAGCATGTCGATAACTTCTTGAAAATGAGATTCTTCGGTCTCCTTACGAAACCAATCGCTAATTATTGTTGTTCATGCAGATGAGAACCATGTATCTTAATTACGTGTACGAAAACGTGCATAACTAATTATTACTTACTCCCAAGTTACTGAATTACCCGCGATAAAACAAGCAAGCACTTCATTACTTCCGATTATCGAGACAGTACCCAGCAAAAATAACTTTTTAAATATAATTCGAAATAAAATTCAACATCATTAGCTTACATTTCTTTTCGGATTATGTAGAATAGTATTTTTCAACTTTGGCTTTATGATACTTACTGTTAATGCAATCGCAAACGCTAGAAAAGACTCTTTATCTATAAGCCGTCTAATAAAAAATTTATTAGCATATACAAAATAAAAATCAGTTTTATCTTTAATACGAAATAATTACTTAGTTTCGGCCAAATACAGTAATTTACGCGCAACATATCCGACAACCAATCCAATTAAACAAGATAGAAGTATTTTGTAAATCCAAACAACGTAAATCCATTTAGCAATAGCATCTCCGGTCTTTTCTGTCATTAGATAAATAGCTATAAATAAGAATGGAACATTGAAGCCTAATATGATAATTAATAATTTCATTTAGCAACGAAGGAATCCGAAATAAAAAATGTCGTATATGCGAAATATACCATCATTTGCGCCACTAAAATATGCAAGATATTAACTTATGAACAAGAAATAAAGCCAATATTTCAAATGCATAATATAAAATTACCTTTCTGCGGATAGAACATTACGCACATGAGGTGGCACGTGCTTTTCGGCGAATTTACCTTTAACAACGGAGTTTGCAAGTATCTAGCAAGAAGATCAAGACATTTATATATAAAGAAGGAAATTTTTATGTATAATATTCTTTTAATTTTTCTTACAGGATCTGTGGGAGTTACACTCGCGGAAATCACTAATGCTTCCAACTATAATTAAAGAAATGTCAGATTATAAGATGATGTTGATTTTTCTTTAATTTCGATATTAAGATTGAAAGCTTACAAAATTAATACTGGGTATAAGCAGCCAGATAAAAAGACCTGAGGCAATCCACATATATCCCATCACAGGAACAAGTAAACAAAATATCGATTTTGCCTCCTTTATGAGGTAGCCCCTTTAACGAGGAATTATTAGGTTTAGTAAAAAGATGCGACCTTAAAACACGAAATATATTCAAGGCAAATTTACTTTGGCAAAGAAATTCCGGCGGCCATGACCTATTAATTTTGCACGTAAATAAGCAACACATAAGAGGAACGAACTAGGATTATATCCAAATTTTCTTACCTGGATCGCGACAACGATTCGAGTAAATTGCATTGTAATTTTTGCAAGTTGCTCTTGATCGCTCCATCTTTCTGGTACAAGTATTCTCAATGCAACCGGACCCACAATAATCCCTACTAAAGCTGAAACAACTAAAATGCACGAGGATTACAAAGAACGTGATGAATTGTTAGTCGCGAAAATTATTCAGCATGATATGATCTTATGAAAACAAAATTACTTACGCGCTTCTGATAAATACAAACGCTCCTTGATAAGTAGAGACACAAACCCAAATATTACGATAAAGCCGCCGAGAATAGCTGCTATTACAGAAACTTCGTCAATTTCCACTAGATTCATGCCCTCTTTCCGAAAATCTGATCTTTAAATGACGGTAGTTTACGATGTCGCGTTTTTTTGGTATAGCGATCGAAGTGTATTTAATTGAGATGGGATCAAAAAAAGATTACGTATTATTTTACTTAATCACCAACGAACAAAAGGGACTTTATGATTTATAGCAATAAAGGTAGCAAGGTTATATTTTGTGAAGTTATATTTTTGGTAGTTCACTTAATTATGTCAAAAGTTTGGAAATGTGCACGAGGCTTTACGTATATTATTTCAAAATAAAATTGTTTAATGGTGGGCACAAATTTTTCAAATTTAATATTTATTTCGGGTAAACTGTTGAATAAAAGATAATTAATTTTATTAGCTATTCTTGCGTTTTTGAGAAGAAAAGCAGAAAACTTGGAGCTTACCTTATATTGATGAGGTATGGCATTGTATTTCAATTTGAATACATATGAAAGATTGTTTTCTAGAAAATAGTTTTAATGTCGCATTTCAAGAAATCTTGGTCACAAACACTACAAAAAGTTTATTGTAACCAAATCCACGTTTAGGAGATTATTGATTTTTTTGGACTATACGTATGAAAATGATGTCATTGTTAGGTAACATCCCGGATAATCCGATAAATTTGGTAATTTGGCAATCAAAAAAAATAGATGATATAGTGAGGGACAGTATAAGACATCCGCATCATATCAAGTGTTATAATTTATTTTTTTTTGTGAAATCACACAATTTTGGCGTTTACTAATTATATTATAAAAATAGAGTTCCGCATCAATGAACCCAAACAGATTGATTACGAATTACGATCAATTATCGTTATTGATATCGATGTTCTTTTGGCGGTTGAACCACATGTGATCACATGACTATGATTTACGCTGTATGTGACAAAGGTTTACGGAACATTACACTAGATATATACATCAATATTTTCTAATTTCATGTCTAGACAAGTATTCACTTTATTATCTACTACTTTTCGACGTAGCCCACTTGCGTTTAGAAGAATTGCCTCAACAAAATGCATACGCTCTTTTACGACGATTGGGAACTGTGGAAGTCCTCTATTTGAACAGTTGTCAAGGACACAACATAACTTGCCGGGATCTAAGTTTAGCAACTCAAGAGTTCTAAAATCTCAGCAAAGTACGAATAGTTATTATGTGAAGTCTAGATATAATGAAAATTTTGATTTTTACTAATCCAATTTTCTTTAAACTTAGTGCGTACGATGTTTATTCAAACACAAACCACACCAAATCAAGATTCATTGAAGTTCATTCCTGGTGTTCCGGTAATGCCGGAAGGAGGAACCGCCGAATTTCTTTCAGGTCATTCAGCCTCCACCTCACCACTAGCAAAAAAACTGTTTCGCATCGAAGGAGTCCGAGGTGTATTTTTCGGTCCCGATTTTATAACAATCAGTAAAGACCAAGACACACCTTGGCAACTAATGAAACCAGATGTCTACGCAAACATTATGGATTTCTTTGCAACCGGACAACCGGTTCTGACCGAAGGCCAGCCACCATCCGACACCGAAATACAAGAAGGTGATTCGGAAGTGGTGCAAATGATCAAAGAGTTGCTGGACACTCGGATTCGACCCGCCATTCAGGATGACGGCGGAGATATCGAATATCGTGGATTCGAGAACGGGATTGTGAAGTTGAAGTTAAGGGGCTCGTGTAGAACTTGTGATTCGTCGGTAGTCACACTCAAAAATGGGATAGAGAATATGTTGATGCATTATATACCTGAGGTGACGGCTGTTCAGCAAATTTATGATGAAATGGATCAAGTTGCGCAACTTGAATTCGAAAAGCTGGAAAAGAAAATAGCAGCGAGCGGTCATTGATTATAATAATGCTTTTAGTATTCCAAATATGTAATTTTTGACTTGATCTGATCTGAATTACATTACATTTGTAAAATTTTGTGTATTGCCAAAATAAATTATAAATAACCTATATTTATTCTTAACATCTTATAAGGATGATATTAAAATTACAAACTTGCCAAAAAAAATTCGGCACGCAATTTTATATTTAATAAGACGGAGCAACACCAACTCCACTATCAACATGATAATACGAATCCCATTCTTCCAATTTGTTTTTCTCATGATAATGATTCGCCATTCTCATTTGAAATTCTTGGATCAATCGCAAAAATCTGTGTATACATTTTCACAAGTGAATCATAGCCCAGCTTGTCTCCACAACGAATTAAATTGGCTTGAAAATAAAAAATAAATAAAAAATGATTATTTCTCTCCCATATTATAGAACGAATCAATGATCTATACGATAGTACTTAAAATACACACCAGCATCGCAATTCAATGGGCTATTTGGCTCGGGAGTCGACAATAGCAATCGAATTGCCATGCAAGCGGATTGTAATGTCCATGCGGGACTCCATGCCGTTTTCAAAATATCCAAACATATTTCTCCTGTCTTTAAAACATAATTCAATGATTATATTGAAGAATAGATAAATAAAAAAAGACGCATTTTCTCTTACCTTAAAAGAGATATTCGGATGGCAAATTCTTGTTATAAACTTAATTTTTGGCGGGTGGATAGGATATGTCTTTGGTACATCAATTCGAAGTTTCCAAAAACCACCTATCATTGCATTTTATTTTTAAAACAGAGATTAAAATTGGAGAAGTATAAAGCAGTAGATACTATTATAGAATAAAATAAAAAATTCTTGCCTTCATAAGGTGTATCATTTTCCCCGCGAAGAACTGCTCGCCAACTGAGAATATCGTCATCTTGGGTAGGTGTTAATTCTACCAAATCAGGGTTTGGTTCTTTTTGAAAGTCTCTTAATTCTTTTAACAGTCGTCGAGTTACCGCGTCTGCCATGACAGTTTAGGGTGCGATAGTACCCTAGCCATGGCAAAAAAAACGATACTGTCACATGATTCCGATCCCATCCGAAATACCCGTTTTAAAATCATGCAATCCAATACTTTAGTTAAAATTGGATAATTGAAACAAATCATTACATATATGTGCTATGAGATCTCTAAGAATTAGAAAGAGCCCGTTGAATGGAACTTGCCGATCACCATATTTTTGAACATCTAGCTAAAGATGGCTCACAGAACATACTGGATTAACGGACAAAAAAAGAAATTCTTATTTGGGTGTTGCTTTAAAAAGTTTAAATGATTCGCAAAATACGACTAGTGTTTCAAGCCGACTAGGATGCGCCGACGCACAGCCAGCTAGCCGATTTAGTCGAGCTAATTTCTTCGATGCGACGCAAGTCGATCACTAAGAAATTTCTAAATTAGGAGAAACACTAAAGCAAGATAGTGGATTAAGATCGATCCAGATTAAGTCAATCCAGATTAAAAAATAAATTGGATTGAGTCACATGCAAATAAAAATGTAAACAAAAGAGTTATTATCAGACAACATTTTCCTTTATTGTGTGATGTATGTGAGGGGATAATAAATGCAATTAAGACTGCAACAAACAAGCTCATAATTAAGACTTCTATTACAATAAACACAAAACTATACATATTATTTTTTTAATTACATATTAAATTTATATGTATTATTTACATCTTAGTAAAATTCTAAATAATTCGTATTCTACCTCTATTGTTAAGCTCTTTTATATCTCAGTAAAATTCTAAATTATAATTCGTATTTTACCTCTATTGTTAAGCTTAAAATTAATTTTCAAAATACAAACAAATAATCAAAAGTATTCCTATCTATTTAATGTCAAAGAGCTATTAGAAATATTAAAAAAAGACTTTAACGAGTTATAATCACTCGTCACCAATATCTGGATATGTTATAATGGCTGGAAATCTCTTAACAGTGATTTCTGAATCGTTTATGTATGCTGTTTTATGAAGTATTAAAAATTAAGTGTAAGGAAAAAAGATGTCCCAGTTGAAAAGTAGAGGAAGATCAGTAAACACGATGTTGATATTTGCGAAGCAAAAATAAGGATTACATTTATCTTCACAACTCAATTAATCTGAATAGAGTATGTTAAAAATATTGTCACTGGTCTATGATTTTTACTGATGAAGATATTCACGAAATAGGTGATAGTAACTGTGTTCATACAAAAGTATATAATATAAGTTTTTCTAAAATACGAGTTTCAATATCAAGTGACAAAGATTATATTTATAATTATCACAAGTAGAGATTTATAACTAATATGAATAATAATTCAACATGTAATGAATTATTATAACAAGAAAGACAAGAAATTCAACAAGAATAAGATAATTAGAATAATCAGCAGTTTGATCTATTCTTTATTATTGTCAAGATCAAAGATAAAGTACAAGATATCTAATTTTTTATATTAAATTACATTCATTTAAATACATATTAAAATAATACAGATTTACTAGATTTGTAACGATATAAAGAACCAATAAAATAATAAAGTTATAACATGTGTAATGTCAAGAAATGATAAATATAATATAAATTAATCTAAGTATTATAATTGAAATTAGTGAAATATTGGCGTTATATTAAATAAATTAGATGAATTAATAATCAAAATTAAATAAATTAATAATTAGAAATCAAGAATCAATAAAATATAATAATTAATAATTAATAAAAATTGCGTAATAAATAAATAAAATGATTGGTGATTTATAATATCACTAGATATAAATAAAAGATAATTAAAAATAAATAAATAAATGGATAAATAAATGTTTATAAATAGAAATTGATTAAATATCACTCAGAATCTGATAATATCTCATGTCAAGTGATCAAGTAAAAGAGTGAATGGTAACAGTACTCTTCAACTAAAAATTTTGCTCCGCAAAACTATATATAGTCTTTTAACTTTTCTTTTGTAATTTTATAGACAACATTTCTATCATTTCTTTCATTTATAATAATCACAGGCTGTAAATACATTTGTTCTTTATAAATCTTCAAGTGATCTCCACTGTATGAATTTTTGAGAACTTTTCCATCCAAAATTCTTAATTTATAAGCATCTTTTTTATAGACATCATGAATATAGTAAGAACCTTTCCATTTTCACCAAATTTATCATGATGCCAATTTTGAGTTTCTATTCAGTGAAGTAAAACTTTTTGTCCAATTTGAAATTGTTGAGCAATTTTATTTTAATCATAATGTTCTTTCTGCTTTTGTTGTTGCTTTTCAATATTTTGAACTGCTTTTTCTTAATTAGAGTCTAATTGATTAATTATTTTATATACTTATTTTATAATTACTATTTCTTTATTTAATTATTTGTTATCAGTTTGCATTTTCAAGTTAAAGAACGTTGATGCAAATCTTCCATATATTAAATAAAATGATTTATAATAAATTGTATTTTGACGTATTGTTCTATAAGCAAAAAGTACATATGATAAATATTCATCCCAGTCTTGTTGATAGAGTTGAACATATTTTGACAAAATTCTATATATGATTTGATTTACTCATTCTATTAAGCTGTTTGTTTGTGGATGATATGGTGTTGCCAAGTGATGTTTGATTTAATTTGCTTTATTAAATGCTTATACAATTTTATTTACAAAAGTAATGTCACAATCACTAATTAATTCTTTTGAAAAGCCATGTTGAGTTATAATATTTTCAGTTAAAAAAGGTATAATTGATACTGCTGTTACATCTTCTATAGCTCTAGCTTCAACTCATTTGATAGCATAGTCAATTGCTATAATAATATAGCAATTTTCTTTTGCTATTATTGTTAGAGATCCAACTAGGTCGATACTAATCTTTTCAAAAGATTCTCCAACTTTGATTGGTGTTAGCATATTATTTTCTTCATCTTTTCTTTCCATTGACATATGTTATATGATTTGATATATTGTTCAATGTCCTTTCATATTTGAGACCAAAAGTATTGCTTGTTGATTTTGTAGAAAGTATTTTCTATACCTAAATGTTCAGCATGCAAATCTGAATGTCTATCTTTTAAAATGTCTTCAATTTCATTGATCTTAATTACCTGAAGTGGTTGTTTTTTATTATTTTTATTATTTTTATATAAAATATTATTCTTAACGATATATTTTTTAAGGTTCGTCATTAGTCATTTTTGTTTGTCCATTGAGAGATTGTCCAATGATTAATAAGAGATTAAGTAGTTAGTGAGATTTATATAGTCATCAAAATTCATGTTGAATGATAATTGGATGTGATATCATATGAAATTCTAGAAAGCAGATCAACATTGGAATGAATTTTATCTTCTTGATGTTCAATCTCAAAGTGATATTTACAAAGTTGTATTATTTAGTAAGCTAAGCATCCAGGTGAATTAGGTTTGTTAATTAATTATTTTATAGCTAAATAATCAGTAACCAATTTGAATGGATGGCAAGAGTGTAAATAAGATCTAAATAACTTGACAATCCAAATTACACCAAGACATTCTAACTCAGTTACACTATATTTGCTTTCAGCTGCAGATACTCTTTAACTAGCATAAGCTACAACATGTTCATGATTTTCATCATCCATTTGTACAAGAATAGCACTAAGTTCAAGTTCAGAGACATCAGTGTAAAGTATAAAAGATTTATCAAAGTTTGAATATACCAGTATTGGAGCTGAAGTAAGATATTGTTTGAGTTTTTCAAATACTGTTTGACATATTGCAATCCAATTAAATGGTATTACCATTTTAGTTGGTTTTATAATTCTTTGAATATAGATCACGTGTTCTTTACATGTCTCAATTAAGTGGAAAAGTTAATAAAGATTTTTATATATTTTAAATACTTTAAGATTGGGAAAGACTAATTTACTAAAGATTTTATAATTGATTATCTAAAGGTAGGTAATAAAGTATTCATTTTGTTGAGCAGCTAGAATGAGCTCAAAAATCTTCTTTTTAATTTGGATAATTTATTATTAAGTAATCTTCTTTTAATTAATTAATTTCAAAATAATATCTTTTCTTTTATTAAGTTTTTAATTAACGATAATTAACTTCGCAGGGTGATGACGAGAGGTTAATTATATCAAATAGAAGACATCGCTTATTACAGACAAGAGGTCTTTTAAAATAAAAGAATACAAGTAAAAAAAATAAAAGGAAATTAATGCTTGACTGAAAATCTTCAACTCAAGACTTATAATACGACTCACTTTTAAGAAGATTTTGTCAAGAGGAAATTATAATCAAAAGATTATTTATTTTGTAAGAAGACTAAGATATAATAAGATGATTATTATATGTATAAGATGATTATGATATGTATAAGATGATTAATTTTTATTTAAGCTAAAATACATGTTATATTTATATAAATTATTCGTTACTTGATCTATATTATTTCATTTCATTAAACTGGTAATACAATTATTAATCCAAGTATTGATCTAAGTATTAATATCAGTATTAAGTATTAATTCAAATATCAAAATCAAATAAGAACAAATAATTAAAATGTACTACATTAAAAGAGTATTGATACGAGTATTAAATTAAGTATTGTTACTGTTTTGATGAGACTTTCAAAATACTCAAAGGTATTTATAAAATTTAAGGAATATTCAAAGGGAAACTTTCAATATCTTAATGACAATTCAAAGTTTTAATAATACTTTATGACTTTAGACTGAATATAAACTAAAGTACGATAAGTATTTATAGAATTACTTAAAGGTTGATAACAATTATGTTCTTTAATGTAATAACTGGACTGCTTAAAAAGAGTTCTCAAAATCTCAATGTCAAATATAATATATATATTAAAAACGTCTTTAAATCTTTAAAGTCAGAATATAAGATTTAATATTTGTATTATCCACAATACGAATCAAAGATAAATGTGTTGAACAATGTATTATTAGCAATACAAAGTCAAAGG